ACCGCGATTGGCTGAACCGATCGCGGGCGATTCAAAACGACCCGATTGGCCGCAGCACTCAGCAGAAAGCCTTTTTAAGCCGCGCTTTTTCCCCACTCTCCCGACTTGTGTTTTTACCCCAATAAATGAGCTGAACCAAGTCACTGACTCGCGTCCTTTGTTCGTATGAGATATACGACAAATACCACCTCTGATTCCAATGTACAGTAGATCCTGCCAAAGACATGAACTTGGAACAAGGCTGATGGTAATTTTAATAGATTTTGGGTAATGTAATTTAATAAGAAAGGAAATGATCCTTCAGCTACCCTAGAGGTGACTCCATGGATTTTGTAGATTAAAAAGAGGGACAACTTGATTTATGTCAAAAAAAAATAACTGGAAGGTGGTAAAGTTGTTCCAACATGATCTTCAAAACACTTTTCTGATCAAAGCCAAAATGCTACAGTTTGCACCATCTGTAGTTTCGCAAACACTTTTCAAGGAAAGCAGTATTCAGAGTATATTGCCATCATGTAAATGAGGCAATTAAAATATAAATCGTTATAAGCAATCTCAGCTCTGTAATGAGGATATTAGAATGACATGCTTTTTATTGTGATAATGTAAGAACTGGCACTGAATCTTCTATACACCTTGGCATGTCTATGTGTGAATCAAATGTCCTTTTTTGTGTACCTTAAAGTAAAAGGGAAGGAAGTCAGAGTAAATAATTATCAGCCATATGAGTGGGAAAAAGAAAGTAAGAATTTGATTAACAGCAGCTGGGGAATTCATTAGTACCAATTCAGAGGCTAATGGAGTGTAGAAAGTATAATTAAAACAATATACATTATCAAGCAAACCAGAAAAACAAAGAAAGGACAAGAATATAATAATTTGCATCCAACAAGATTATCCATGCTTTTTGCTGTCACCATTTCACAGCCACAAGGGACCAGTTATGCATCACAAGGACCTTTGCATGTATTAATTTCACTGATCCAAAAATGCATTTTTAGCTTTTGTTCGGGGAGAAGAATGGAATGTGCCTCTGTATTCTAAAAGAAAAAAAAAATCAGTCTTGACAGCATCACACAGAAAAAAATGCCATTCCAGAAGTTACTTGAGTCCTGAATCCACATGGCCTCATCAAGGCAAATGATTTTCCTCAACCTATGATAGACGGCCTTCTAGGTTTTTGAATGGATGGGGAACATATTATGATTTTATACTGAGAAACCATTCAAGGAATCCACAGTTAAGCAAGGCTGATGGATAAGGGCCATAACCAGTGTGAATGCACTCCCATACGTATATTTATGTATTTATTTTTATTTTTTATTTGATTTGATTTGTCAGTCGCTTACAAGATAATAGGTAAAGTATAAACATAGTTATGAATACATGAAATGGATACATATAAGAAAAATAAAATCATTATTTTATTTATAAAATTATATTACTTATATAATATATCCACTCTTTTACTCACTCACTCACACATCTAGCTAAGAAGCTCTCTCTCCCTGGCCATCCTGATTATTGTCACTGTTTTTAATTGCTCTTTGCAGTTAGAAATCAGTAGTTTGTTACCCATTTCTTAGATGATGGGTAGTCATTATGTGAGAGGTTAAAAAAAAAGACAGGGATTATGGGTCTATGCAAGAAGAAAAGAGGATTATGGATATCCATATTGTTCTTGTCCAGTGTTTGAAAATTCCATAAATATATAATCTAATTACTCTTTCTCAACCTCGTACCCTTCAGCTGTGTAAACAGTACCCCATTTTCCCCACTGTTGTAGGTTGAGGATGAAGCAGAAGTGGTATTCAGCAGGTTCTGACCAGTTCTGGAGAACCGGTAGCGGAAATTTTGAGTAGTTTGGAGAACCGGCATGTACCACCTCTGACTGGAGATTTTACAGTATCCTTCCCCTGCCATGCCCACCAAGCTACACCCACTGGACCAGTAGTAAAAAAAATTGAATCCCACCACTGGGATGAAGGTTGTACTGTGATCCTACAAAACTAGAAGGCATTCAAAACCTCACTTAGTACAGGAGTTAAGTTGGCATTTTGACAAATCTGGCTTCTTAAAATGCATGGGAAGTAGAACAATTCTATTAGTAAGGCAAAATAAACAATCATTTGGAGAGAGTTCTGCCAATATACCACATTTTAGTTACAGAAGCATACTGTAAAGAGAACTGTCCCCTTCTAACCACTTGTTAGAAAAATGATATGCATCCCAGTCTTTGCAACCGAAGAGTAATGCTGACTGTTTAGTATTAGCTGTTTTGCTAGAATAAATTATATTTAAAGGAATACCAAGATACATCCATTCTTGTAGATTAAATATATAATGATGTACATGACAATAGAGGCAGTGCTGAGTTCAAATACACTAATTAAAAGTGAAACAGTTCAGTGAAGTAAAATAAAACATGACAGTAAGAATACAGTGTCTTGATCAATTACTCATCATTAAAGCATCTAGTCAAACAAAACAAGGAAACACTGCCTAGTGTAGGGAAACAAGAACTGTCAACACAAAATAACAATGTTGAGCTATCAGGGGCTGGATATGGAAGGAGGAGGGGCAGAAATGCTTACCGTATCTGCACCTGTATTGACAGACTCCATTCTTCCCTCCTAATATCTCTGAGACAAAGTCAAAATAGCCATTAACAGCATCAATGCCATCTCGGATGGTCCCAATTCCCCAGTCGGAATAGGAGCTTTCCTCCGGCAATGGAGAAGGAGGGATGACATTATCCTGCATGGTTTCTTCAGTGCATTTCCCTTGACTCAGAGATAAGCACAGAATCAGTGCCCCGATGAACAGCTTCATGCTGAAGTTGGACAAAGCAAAATTGGTCCCAGGAAATCTCCACAAACAGAAGCGGTGCCAGTGGGATTGGGATAACAAGACTGGAGGTATTTTGAGTGTGCTTTTGCGGTGGACTTTAAACACTGCTGTGTTAACAGGATGAAGTCACCCTAATCATGGAGCACAAAGTTCACATGAACAGCGTGTGTTGCCCAATATTGAAGGGCTTTGATATGCTCTGCTCAGGAGGACGCTGGAGTTGGCAGGATTCCAAGGCTAATCATAAACTCCCACAGGCAAACTTATCCTCTCCCCCAAACCTTTGAGTACCCCCATCCAAACCTCCATTATGGGTCCATTGAGCTATTTATGGCTTCTGCTGAAAGGCCTGGAGCAGTTTTTATGTTTGAAAAAAAGCATAAAAGAGAGTGAGCCTCCCACCTTAGTTTTTGAAAGACAGGTATTTCCCCCAACCTCAGGGTATCCTCGGTCTCACAGCCCAAAAACTGTTCCAAAAGCAAATGCAGGGGTAATGGCATATAAACTATATTAAAGAAGTGGGGAGGCCTCTTCCCAGTGGTGCATCCAAAAACATCTGCTATTGAAAATCTAGGAAAATTTAGTTGTTTCAGTACTTTATTGGAACACTAGAATTCAGGAGGCACCTGAAACTCCTGGGGTCAATAATTTCACAAAATGGGGGCCACGACTAAAGAGGTTCCTCTTATTGTCCCTAATCTCCTGCTGAGGAAGGACTTGGGACACACTTTCTTGACCCTTATGAGGAAGCTGCTCCAGCCAGCATGTAAAATAAGAGTTTTGGGGCATATAGATTCAATCTTGGTAGAGCAGGACCTGCTAGAACCCAACACACCATCCAGATTTCAAATCCCACCCTCCTCTTTAACTCCCCAGCCCCTGGAACAAGTCATTTCGTCTCCCTACACAGCAGTGAGATGACCACTTACCCCATCAAACAACAAGAAGGAGATACACACACACACACACACACACACACACACACACACACACCATATATATTGCTGCCTAGGTAGAATTGCAAATTTTAAAATAACTACTTTAATTTCAATAGAATTACAAGGAATCATTAAGACCAAGTTCCTGGGATACCTTTTCAGTTTGTATTCAGCTTATTATCCTGGTGGGCAACTTTAAGTAACCCCATTTCTATCAGTGGTATTCTGAAACTTCAGAAGCTCCCACCATCTGGGTCAATGGTAAGGGTTGCTGGATTTGTTCCTCTGGAGTCAGTTGTAGAATCTCCATCCTTTCCCCCCCACCCCCAACTTTCATTTGGACTGGATAGTCTTTCAGATGGAGAATTATCCTCTGTATATTTGGATATTTGTAAATTTGTGTAAAGTTGGACCATAAGAAAGGCTGAGTGCCAAAGAATTGAGGCCTTTGAACGCCTGCGAGTCCCTTGGACTGCAAGGCCATCCAACCGGTCAGTCCTAGAGGAGATCCACCCTGCCTGCTCTTTAGAAGGCCAGATCCTGAAGATGAAACTCAAATACTTTGGCCACCTCATGAGAAGGAAGGACTCCCTGGAGAAGAGCCTAATGCTGGGAACGATTGAGGGCAAAAGAAGAAGGGGACGTCAGAGAATGAAATGGCTGGATGGAGTCGCTGAAGCAGTCGGCGTGAGCTTAAATGGACTCCAGAAGATGGTAGAGGACAGGAAGGCCTGGAGGAACGTTGTCCACGGGGTCATGATGGGTCGGACACGACTTCACAACTAACAACAACAACAAAATTATTTACTCTTATGGCAGTCAAGTAAAGCTTAAAGACAAAAGCAATCTCCCTCTCATTGCAGGCAGTGAAAGAAGGAGAAAGGGGAGAGACGAGGTTGTCTCCTTGAGCAGCAAAGCAATTGAGTCATTTGTTTCAATGCAGAAGTGCCATCCAGGTTTTGTCTAGAGGCTGTACACTTTAATCCTTTGATGAATGTTACTGCAGGTCAGGATGCACTTCATCATACAAATCTCTACAACTTCAGCTAATCAATAATCCCCTATTAAGCTCAGTGAGATTTTCCCACAAGTAAGATATACCACATAGGTAGGAGTGGGATTCTACCAGTTCGGACCAGTTCTATAGAACCGGTTGTTACGATTCTGTGCAGTTCGGAGAACCGGCAAATCACGCCACCAGCTGGCTTCTCCCCTCTTGCTTTCTAGCTAATCTAAATCGTTGTTTGCCTTCACCCAGGAGGCTTCTCTGAGGCCCAGTCAGGGGTGGAATTCAGGGGATTGGGGGGTGGGGGAGAAGTGGCCTGAGAGTAGAGCTGAACCTTCCTTAGGACTGAAACTTCTATTTTTCAGTGCAGACTCAGGCAGCAGATTGCAGAAAGGTAGATCTACGAGTGAATCTGTGATTTTGCAAGCAACTCAATCTGCTTTGCCTGATTTTGGGTGAAAGTTGCTCTTTTTTTCAATAAAAATTTCAAAATTAACATAATTTACAACATTTACATACAAGCCACGCCCATCCAGTCATGTGACCACCAAGCCACCCCTCCAGTTAGCAAGCCACCCCCACCCAGTCACATGATCACCAAGCCACACCCACAAATTAGGCCATGCCCATAGAACTGGTTGTCAAGAAATTTGAATCCCACCCCTGCATATGGGGCAGCAAAGTAGGAAGTTTATTTGAGTTTAAGTACAGTCTGGGAGGTTTCAAAGAAGCCTCTGTAATTTTATTCTCATGCGTGTATTGAAAGGAAAGATGCTATATCTTATATCTTTATACGATATGCTATACCCTTGACATACATCACTGACCTTTGCCAGCCTCAGGACACAATACCTCATCAGAAGTAGATATTTTCAGAGAGTTTTCCTAACTTTGTGATTCTCAGTGCCACACAGAATTAGCTTTTTGCTGCTTCTTTCTGAAGGCAAACTATCTCACTGATATTTTACAAGACATGGAATTTCCACTCAAGGCTGGCTCAATATATTTCATTATTTGAGAGAGTTAGCCTCAAAGCATATACTATGGTTTGTTCTAGGTCAAGGGCACAATACCTCAAAACTAGGTGAATTATTTTAGTCTATGAGGTGGGAAATATGATAAGAACCTGTTCCAATCTCTGACACTAAAACTACAATAAGAACAATTTATGTAACTAACCATCTGATGCCCTCCTCTGATTGCAAAAATTTGACAGATACCTTGGCTAATGCTAAAGGCCTAACTTGCTTAACCCAGGTAACAATTGACTGGTTTTGCTACACACCTGAGGTTTATAGATTAGACTAAGACTCTGAGCGGTGACTGCACCCATAATGTTGAGAAACTGAGTGAAATAGTGACAAAAATTATGTTTCAATACAAATTGTTTCTAATCTTCTTTATGCGGACCACTACATTGCTTCTGAAACATTTTCAGGATTAATGGAGTCAGCAGCATAATGGCTTGGCTAGGATGGTGCATATGATGATCTTCTGAAGATGTCTGCAGGTTCCTAAAATTAAAGAAAAAAATAGTTTACATTTATCTCTTCTTTTAAATGATTGAAATCTGATGAAACAACCAACTCTTGCAAGATGTTCATGTTCCTGTAGAAACTTCTGCAAGATTTGGGGGCAAGAATGTCAAAACTCACAAGTTTTCAATTGAATTTGAAATTAAACTAGATGTTGAGTTTTTAATTATTGGCTGTGTGGACATCTCATTATTATGATATCCTTGGGGACCCCAGTTGTTTCTGATTCTCAACTGAATATTCTTGTTCTAATCATTACTGATGAACCAAGTCAGAGGGTATCTCTTTAAGAGTCCTTTAAAAATTCTGGGAGTCGTATCCAGTTCTGGGGGTTGAAGTCCACAGGTCATGAAGGGGCCGTAGTTCCCCACCCCTGCTTTAAAACAAGGGGGGGGGGTCATATGGCTGAATTTACTCAAATCAGCTGTTTTTCCACATCACGGTGAAGAACTGTGATTTACTCAATCAATCCCATTCTCTGGTGCCATGCATATCACTGCCTAATTGAAATTATGGAGGACTTTTTGTTATTTGGTGGCTATAATCTTCACTTTGTGGCCCTTATTGGATTATTGGTTTTTGTGTTGAGTATTGCTATATTGGAAATGGAGTCTAGAAGATGCTGTTTCTCAGTTCCTGCTTCTACCTTGTAGAATAACTCCTTTTAGAATTAAAATTTGCTCCATCACTTCTAATGTTCAAAAAAAAAAATTCACATGTGAAATAGTGATCCAGGAGACAACTTGAAAACTACAGACTAGTTTGATGAGGATCAAAGGTGGCTAGCTGGATTTGTGGAAAAAAAATATTTTGATAACCTCACAATGTATATTCCAAAGTCATGACTAGCTCTATAAGATATGATATGGAGTAAAAATTATCACATAAATAGAAGTGAACCCATTGATATAATCTTCTTAAATTGTGATGGATTCTTGGAATCACTTAAATATATGCCAACAGTGTGCTGCCACTGCCAAAAAAACCCAACACAGTCCTAGGCTGCATTAACAGAGTAATAAGCATCAAGATCATGGTGAAGTGTTAGTGTTGGTTTGTAGTGCCTTGGTTAGACCATGCTTGGAATACTGCATCCAGTTTTGGTTACCACAATATAAAAAAAGATGATGAGACTCTGGAAAGGATGCAAAGAAGAGCAACAAAGATTATTTAGGGGGGCAGAAGCTAAAATGTATGAAGAATGGCTGTAGGAATTAGGTATATCCAGTTTAATGAAAAGGAACAGGAGTGACATGATAGCATTGTTTCAATATCTAAGAGGCTGCCACAATGAAGAAGGGGTCAACCTATTCGCCAAAGCACCTGAAGGCAGGACAAGAAGCAATGGAAGGAGAGAGCTAATACTGAACGAAGGAGAAATTTTCTGACAATTAAATCAGTGGAATGCCTTGCCTCCAGAAGTTGTGTGTTTGCTTGAACCAGGCGTTGGACTAGAAGACCAAACCTCTAAGATACCTTCCAACTTTGTAATTCTGATATTCTGAAGATTTTTTCACTCACCAAAAAATCCTGAGAGCAATCTTAGTGATCAATGGATTATGAAATAGATCAAATATATGGAAATATAAAATAA